AACAGTCATACCCAAACATAATGGCACGTAGCTCTTGCAGTTCTCAGATTTACCACAAGGTGGCAGAAGAGTTATACAGATAATAATGGAGCAGAGGTTTGACGAATGCACTAATTCTGCTAAAGAGATAGAGGTCTTAAACACGTGTAGCACATATGATAAATGTGACACTAAATACACAAAATCTAAGTTTTTTCTTTCATTTTTAATCTAACAGATCAATCCTTACTTGTTTTTTTTTTTTGTTTACTCTAAAGTGTTTGCATTAAAGGAGCAATTCACAGAGAAACCATTTTGAATGATTATTTCTGATTCTAACGGGTCACTCTGAGTATTTCATGCAGGCTGAACATGAAAATAGTCTCCTACACCTATCTCCTGTCCTGCTTTAGCTTCTGATAGAAAACCGATGGTGAAACTTTAGGATTAGAAAATTCTGACAGATCTACGTCACACTGTCACTTAACCAGTGGCGGCGCTAGGGGGCGCTATAGCTACCCTTGGATTAGTCTTTGCACCCCAAGTAAATATTAGATTTTTTTTTACAATTTAATTTTAATTTAATGTGTGGATGTGATAATATTTAACATACAAAACAAAAATAATCAGTAAATTATCATATAGATAGTAAAAAATAAACCAAAACAGGAAATTGACGTTAACCTTTGACCTCATTTTCTATTTGCGAACGAGTGAAAGGTAGAGCTAGCGGTAAAATGGATCGGTTTTTGTTGCCCAAATTTCCACGGGCTCATTCAGAAACGAATGAATCTTTGGAAGTGATCTCAGACCCACAAAAACCTACGGATCTGGATGAAGAGAGTCAACCCTCAACCGCCGCAGCAGTCCAGGGTTTTGCCGCTGGAAATGCTAACGCTAACGTTAGCTAAACTTGCAACACTAGATGGTTTTCTGTGTGGCTGTGTGTGTTTATGATTTCATGGAAAAGTCAGCGATTGTTCATATGTTTATGATGTATATTAATGATTGTTTCAGGTGTTGTTGAGGTGTTGTGCACGCATGTGTATCTGCTAGTGTTGAAGGTGTTTTAGAGAACAATAGGTACGCATGACCACTTCCTTCATAGCACCTGCAGAAAAACATTTCTGGAGCCGCCACTGCACTTAACACTCATGGACTCACCCATCTGGACTCACGACGGGGAAGGCTGTTGTTGGTTTAGCATCCAGGAAACAGCAGAGAACGTCTGGGCTAGTAGAAGCTAACGTTAGCATTAGCAACTCCACCACACAGCAGAACTCCAGACTTGTGTTTTTTGTGGAGATAAAACATCAACGTTGCAGAGTAAACAGAGTCAGTGGTAGAGTTGTGTTGATGTTAGCCAATCAGAGGAGAGATGTCCAATTAGCAGGAAGTAAGACATCAAATCCCGCCGCGTTAAGCTTTCCTCTGATGTGGCGTCCTGCTAGTTCCTGAAACAAGCCCACCTGAGCTTCCCTCGTAAATACGACTTACAAGGCATTCATTCCTACTAGAGACCACCGTAAATGTGCTGATTTAACGAGTGTCCAACACCTTTAAGGTAACTCTACAGTTTAAGGTTTAAACTCTCCTTAGTGTATTTTTATGTACATTTTCAAGAAGCCAGACGTAAATTGCTTTTAGTTCTTCGAATTAAAAAAAAAATGTCTGATTAAATTTACTGCTTATTTATTCTTTTTTTTTTTTTTTTTTTTTCAAAAAAAATTTGAATTTACTTAACCAAGTTATGTTAACTGGTTCCACTAAACCTAGTTGCTTAAATGTAACAAGTAATATGCATTTACTCGTAACATACCAACGTATACCAATGTTTATTACACTTTACATTTAACTAACTAGGCTTGGTGGAACCAGTTGACATAACCTGGTTAAGTGAATTCAACGTTTCATTTCTTACAGTGTATTTCTTTCCTCGATTACCGTTTCAAAGCCTTTTATATCCCTGATTGGTTTATAGGTTAAAAGTCACAAATTCCCTCTGATTTTGCTTTTGTGTCACTTAAATTATTCAGATTCAGGTCAGTCGATCTTAAACAACAACAAACGGACGATTTCAAACGATGATTTCACGTATTAAAACAGAAAAATAAGCTATTCGGACCAACCTGGTCCCAACTGAGAAATCGTTTGACCTCCTCGTTATTTTAACACATTGTTTTTTAGTAAGCTCAGTTTCACTTCCCCCACCCAGGTCTCATTACTGCCACTCCTGTGAAACTAAGAAATCTCTTGAATAGATGTTGGCTAAACGATCTCAAAAAGCTAAACGTCATGTCTCTTTTTAAAGAAGTAAAAAAACACACTTCTCATTAAGGTTGGGGTTCGTGGTCCAGCAACACTGACTAGACACGGCCTCCATGGGAGAGATCCAAAACCGCCGTCTCACATTTACACAAACATCTTCGTGATCCTCAAGCCTTTTGGCAAAATGTTCTGTGTAGCGAGACAATGATGACATCACACCAACAGTCAAACACGGTGGCGGTAGTGTGATGGCCTGGAGCTGCTTCGCTGTTTCATGACCAGGATGGCCTCCTTTACGGAACTATGAATGTCTGACCTTTGACCTGTAACAGCATCACTCATGCCGGAAAACCCTCCAGTTTTGGCTGAATTCAAACAACTCTTACAAAGAAGAGAGGGACGTGGGAGACTCGTAGTATCACAAACGCATAACCGCAGCTGTGGCTTTCTAAGGTTTTATGACTTGTTTTTCTTTTAGGGTTCGTTACTTTTGTTGGTTTTCCTGCAACAAGTCAGATCATCGTGTCTACTCGGGGAGTCGGGGTTTGATGCTGAACTTGTTTTCTGCTCTGAGACGTTTTGGTGCATCGTTGATGAATTTTTTTCCCCCAACAGCAAATAAAGTTTAGATTCCCTGGAAAGAATTTCATTAATCTGATTTTGACTCACAGCTTTACAGTAAAGTTTGGGCTCAGCTGCGTTTGACACCACACCTCCAGCTCTCACTGGAACAAGTTCTCCTCGTTCTTCATCACTCGCTGTCGCCGTGACATGATCCGTTTCCTTTAGCACGCCTCCTCCTCTGCCTCTACCTTTGCTCGATCTCCCATTCTCTCTCTCTCTCTCTCTCTCTCTCTCTCTCTCTCTCTCTCTCTCTCTCTCTCTCTCTCTCTCATGCCCTGAGGTCAGAGTGTGCTGTAGACTATTGATATCGTTACTAAAAATATAGGATTCCTCCACCAGCCGGCTAAAAATAGATTAAAGGGACACGGACCACAGGGGACAAAGGAGGAGAGGACAGGAGGAGCATGGAGGATACAAGCTGAACACGGTCACATATATTCTTCTTTCATCATCGACACTAAAAATAAAAAATAATGAAGGTGTATTTTTATTTTAATATTTTCTTAAAAGTTTTAATTTTGTATTCTACATAACTGGTCCCCTACTTCTTGTTTTCTGGCTTAGATGTTGCTTATTTAGAAATATTTTTGACCAAAGACGCAAAATTAAGATTTCTATTTGATCTGTTCGAGATGGATCCAGTGTTGTCAGAGCGCCTTGTGGGAACAAATAGATTACTGGATTCTGGCTTTTAACTTGTAAGGTGAACGCTTGATTTGACCCTCTTTAGCTGCACAGACGTTGTTTTTCTGTAATCTGCAAGAGAACCACTGTAGATCAGAACAGAGCAAACACAAATAAAAATAAATATAAACATTTACTTTTAAATCTGAACAACAAAATGTATAAAAGTGTTTTAAATAATGGCTGGAGATCATGAAATGCCAAACATCTGGATTACAGCTGTTTTTAGAAGAACAAAACGGTGAGGGAGGTGATTTTTGGTTTGAGAGGACCCCCCCCCCACACACACACACACACACACACACACACACACACACACACTCACACACACCCTCTCACTCTGTCTCCCTCTCCAACACTTCTCCCTCCTGCTCCCTTCGCTGTTTCGTTTTGTAGCCAAAGAAGCGGACTGAACGATCCACCGCAGTGCCTGCATGAGACACAGTCAGTGAAAGAGGAAGAAAAGGAGGGATTTAGAGGATGGGAAGGGGAGGATAAAGGATAATCGCCCAGATTAGAGAAGGAGAGAAGAGAGAAGAAAAAGACACTAAACCCTCTCATGGTGTGAGGTTTCCAGGCGTGCGCGCACGACTCCGGTGCCACTGTGAGTAGATTTCTCTGATTTTCTGCGCTTTCCTGGCTGTAATTATAACGACGACTGAGTCGTGTGAACTGTGGGCACGCGCATGTGTGTGTTTATGTGTGTGTGTGTGTGTGGTGACAGCTGTGAAAACATTTATGACGCGTCCTCGTCCTCTCGTGTGAGAGCGCATCATGACTGATGTTGACCCGACAGCCCAAAGCAGCTAATCTAGAACTCCGGTCTCCTCTTTTACCTCGGAGTCGTTCTCGTGATGCTCCTCACCTCACAAGTCCGCGTGCGGAGCGTGTGGCGTCAGGGGGAAGGGGGCACTTGCACGCATTGCTGCCTTTTTCCAGCCCGGGGTCTAATTTTCTTTGGATTTAATAAAAGAGAGAATAATGATGTTTTTCATGATGAACTCTCAGCTCTGCTGCGTAAAAACGACTCGAGTGTTTCCTGCCTGCGCTGAAACGTCTCCACACTCCAGAATCCACCCACTGACTCAGAACATCTCCGTTTTCCTGTGAGGGATTTCATCGATTCTCTCAACCTGATTTAAAGAAACACGCTGAAGCCTAATTAGTTTTGCACACCTTCTAGTTCGGCGGAGGCGCACTCCCGTCGTGCGCGTGAACGTTGGATGCTCCTTCCATTTTTTTGGGCCAAGGTCTTCTCTGCTAGTTTCCATCCTCCAGATGTTTGCACCTCCTCCTCTCTAATCCATCACATCCCCTTCAGCTCGGTGCCTGGTTTTATCTCAGAGTTTCTTAGAGGAGGTGTCAATCTGCAGATTGAGATAGATTACAGAGATTTAAACCTTTTGTGCCCCTTGTGGCTCCTGTCTAACCAGCTAGATTGGCTCATTGCTTTCTGGATGAAGAAACCGAGGTGGCTGTCTCTGAGCCTTTAAACTGACTTTGATTAAAACGCTAAAAACATAAACAGCTCTTTTTGATTCAGTTTAAATCTGAAATGTTTGTTTTCTGAGAAAGAAAAAAAAGCTGCAACACCTCTAAAAACAAGTTAGGTGTGTGTATACATGATGTGTTCCTTTGTTTAGCAGGATTTGTGTTCACCAATTCCAATAAAAGCCTTCTTTTTTTACTTGAATGCAGAAAAAGAAAGAGAAGCGTTTGAACTAAGCTGTTTTATGGGCCATTCCCATCTGTACCGGGTCGGCCCGGGCCGGGTAGCGTAGGTTGTTTACATATCTGGGTGGCCTGGTATTTTTCCGGGCCAACCAAGGCTCATTCTCAGCCCTCTCCTCGAGGGGGTCTGCTTCAGGCCGACCAGGGCCAACACACCCACTGCTGACAGCAAATTCACACCTTCCATTAGAGCAAGCCTCTGATTGGTGGGTAGAATCAGCCCACATGGGCTTAAGGCAAGGATGTGTGGAATCAACCGGGCCGACTGGGGCTACCCGGCCCGGGCCGACCCGGTACAGATGGGAATGGCCCATTTGTGACTGGTCTGTTGGGACAGTCGAGCTGTCCTTGGTGCTGAGAACCAGGATTCACTCCTTTTCAATTCAATTCAAATTCAGTTTACTTTATAAATCCCAGAGTGAAATTAGAGCTTGTTTCCTGTCTCAGATTAGTTCCCGCTCTTTTTGGTCACTTTGGCACAATCTCTAAAGGCTGCATGATGGTTTTGCTGGTGTTCTACTTTTTCACTTATTTCAATAAACCCGAACGAAGCAGTGTTTGTGGAGCTGTCCTTGGTGCTGAAAATCAGGATTCATTCATTTCTTTTTTGCATCTCCGGTTAAGTCCCACTTTGGCATCATCTCTAAATGCAGCATGAGGGTTCTTTGCATCTTCAGCCCTGCTCCAGTTGGTCTTCTGCTCCTCCGGCTATTTCACTTGGTTTTCTTTTGCTTTGCAGTGACTTTTATGAGCTTCTTTTGTGCAAAAACTAAACAGAAAGAATATTCAGTATCACGTCTGCAGGAGATCGATTTGCAGCTGAAACGTCTTCAGCTGTGCATCAGGTGACTGGACCAGTTTGCCTTCATCCTTTAGTAAATCCTTCTGATCTCACTGGCTTTGAATATTTTACATTGCCTGTTTGTCTGATGGGATTCTCTGTGGTCCTTCTAACATCTGGCCCTCCTCATTACAAGCTCTCCTCGCGTTATCTGCTTCGCGTTTCAGAAGCTGGAAACTGTCACATCTCTGAGGCCTTTTTTCTCTGCTGCTCACCTTTTACCTCCAGCTTTCTGCGTCCTAAAACGTCTCATTCTCACTCCTTAGTCACAAAGAAAAGTGTCATTCACACGCGCTGCTGCGTAGAAAGTAAAATAACTTCCGCAGGGGCCGCGTCTGCCACAATGGCTGTCCAGATAAGACGAGGCTGAGCTTCATCTTTGAGAATTCATTCCCCTGTGGGACGACCGGGTCTAATATAAATCCATTCCGATCACGATTTGTTGAACAAGGACTGAGCTGAATAAAAAAGTGGTTTTCGTGCAGCAAGATTTTGTTGTCAGCGCCTCCAAAAGGAGCCTCATTATGGTCAAAGTGACTTCGGCACTTTAAAAAGTCTGAGATAGAAACTTAAATATTGTTGTCCTAATATCAGTATAATTCGTGTAAATGTAATTCACATGCAGCTGTGTCACATAGAGACACCCAGTCTTTGTCGTCGGCTTCCTCCGCTTATCCGGGTCCGGGTCGCGGGGGCAGCATCCCAACTAGGGAGCTCCAGACCGTCCTCTCCCCGGCCACCTCCACCAGCTCCTCCAGCAGGACCCCAAGGCGTTCCCGGACCAGATTGGAGATGTAACCTCACCAACGTGTCCTGGGTCGACCCGGGGGCCTCCTGCCGGCAGGACATGCCCGAAACACCTCCCCAGGGAGGCGTCCAGGAGGCATCCTGACCAGATGCCCAAACCGCCTCAACTGACTCCTTTTGATCCGGAGGAGCAGCGGTTCTACTCCGAGTCCCTCCCGAATGTCCGAGCTCCTCACCCTATCTCTAAGGCTGAGCCCGGCCACCCTACGGAGGAAACTCATTTCGGCCGCTTGTATCCGCGATCTCGTTCTTTCGGTCATTACCCGAAGCTCATGACCATAGGTGAGGATTGGGACGTAGATCGACCGGTAAATCGAGAGCCTGGCTTTCTGGCTCAGCTCCCTCTTCACCACGACAGATCGGCTCAGCGTCCGCATCACTGCAGACGCTGAACCAATCCGCCTGTCGATCTCCCGATCCCTCCTACCCTCACTTGTGAACAAGACCCCAAGATACTTAAACTCCTCCCCTTGAGGTAGGACCTCTCTCCCGACCCGGAGTTGGCAAGCCACCCTTTTCCGGTCGAGAAACCCGATCTTCTGATATAAATCTTTATTTACTTTAAA